TGCATTAAAAGTTGTAGGTTTATTGAATGCGTAATTATTGTAATGAAAGTGTTAAGTAGGTAAGAGGGGGGTTCACTTGAATATATATAAATAAATAAATAAATATATATATATATATATATATAATAAAATATTTAAATAATACAAAAGTACAAATTTGTAATTATCAAATAAATTTAATTTTCCTGATCAAAAATAAATAAATTTAATTTATTGTCACATAATACACTCAGTTTAAAATGATGAATTAAATTATAAGGCATAAAATGAACTTAAAAAACAAATTATTTTAAAGCTATGTTTTAATTTATTTATTTTTAAGTTACAATCAGCTTTTTCAAAACAATAAATAAATAAAAGAAAAAATTACAAATCAATGATATTTTCACAAAATATTTATAAATTCATAAAAAAAAATTAATTTTTAATTATTAAAATTAATAAAATTTATCATTGACTTGCCATTTTCTTTTAAAACATAAACTTACATTAAAGCGTAAAGGGTAATTTCCCTTAAATAAAATGGATGCTGCTTTTGCCAATCAAATTTTGCTTTTTGCTGGAGCAATGTCAACCATTCAAAAGCATTCCATGATTGTACTGACGAAAGTGAATTTCTTTTTAAATGATGGGAAATTACTATTGAGTTGAAATTTTGAAAAATTATTACACATTATTAAAAAAAAATTATGAATTTTAATTATTAATATTTATAAAATTTATTACATTTTTGTAAAAAAAATTTAACATGCCACTAGTGTGTAATTTCCCCTTTAGAGTAACCTTTCAAATTAATTGACATATTTGTACCTTCAAATGTTATGCAGAGAACACTATCATCCTTCAACAAAGAAAATAAATTTGTTCATACACTTTAAAAGTAGGTGAACAATACATAAATTATGATTGATCCAATAGGTGAACAACATGCAAATTATGATTGATCCAAAATTGTAAGTCCTAGTCTCAAGGAATTTTTGTATGCTGAGAAGGTACCACGTGGCATTGTGTCACGAGCTGACAATTCTTCAGCTCGCAACTCTTGCAGGTAGCGTGGCACCCCACCATGGCATGTTGGCCCCAAGTAGTTCAACGCATGCCCAGTGCCAGTGCACTTACGCCCGCCCGTCCATGCTTGCACATTAGTGGGTGTCAAGCATACCTTGGTGGCATTTTCATAAATTCTAATATTTGGATAATATTGAAAATTATTGGATTATTTAATTATGACTCCTCAAACATGTGGAATGTTTCCCTGTGCCAGTTAGAAAAGGGCTTAAGATGCTATTATAAGGGGGCATAGTGTGCTTTAGTTTGTCTCCCCAACCTGTGATGGGTTACAAATGAACAACCTTTGGACAACCAAAAGGCGGGTCTCTCACATACTATTGAGTGTTATCTTTGGTCTCCATGTGAGTTTGGGAACCCCATGGACATTATCATCGAGGGGCATGAGTGTTGACACTGCGCGCTGCTTCCTAGCAAGAGGTTCAGGCACATACTCGCTATGCCGCTCACTATAACATATTGTGGTGTCGTCTTGGATCGAACGAATTCGCTATTGAGGCATGCCATCATGAAGGCCTTGTGTGCCAACTCGTGAACATTGGCTTGGGTTCAAACATGAACACGAGGTCATGTAGCCTAGCTAGCAGTTTAGTGACAACGCTGCTGCTCTTGAGAACAATTGAATGTCATGAAGTATTATCATCATGCAAGGCACATTGTGCGAAGCTTATGGGAAGGCGGAATGCTAATTGAGGACTATTGACATATATTGTCCTGCTTATGCTACACGTTAGTGCAACACCTTGGGTGAGCAATGACCCTTGGTGGATGGTTTAGCATGTCAATGCATGCATAAGGATTTGAGTTATGGAATGCAACGTCAGTCACTTGTGGCTGTCCGAGACGGGCGCAACAAGAGACCTTATTCAAAAAAGGAAAAGCTTGTCAACTAGATTGAGGATTCTAGATTGGTGCACAATTGGCCAACATTGTGTTGGGTCAATTGTGAGTCACACTAACATGGGACATCTCGATTGAGTTGGACCTCAGTTGGGTGAGTTGCTCAATGACGAGCTTGGTGCCATGAAGTGACATGGGCTGTATGAGATGCACTTGTGGGCGTTTAGCCTACTTGTTGCATGGAAGCCAGAGCTTCATTGTGGGAGTCGTTCTTGCTAGACAGAGCATTGAACTTGCATTTGACATGACGGGTTAAGACTCAACACTCAATGGTCAAAAAGAATTTAGGCAGGCTGGACACTGTGTAGAGTTCAAGCGTCTCGCAAGCAAAAATGTTCCGCTACGGCTCTAGAAAGAGTCAGCCCGTGACACACTACCAAGTGGTATCTCCCACCAATCACAAATGCATATGCCTTCTACCGTCTCTCAAACTCTCAACATAAATGTAGTAAACCATACTGTCAAATCTAATCATAATATGAAATAATATGAAAAAGGTACCACGTGGCATCTATCCTCTTGGCACCAAAAAATTCCTCCTTAGTCTCACATCTAAAAAGCGTATTAATTCCGACCAAAATTGTGGGCCCAATATTTTGAACCAATTATAATCTGTGTATTATTCACCTAATTTCAAAGTGTGTGAACAAAGTTTGGACTCATCGGGAATGTAAAATATGAGTTCTCCATCTCCAGGTTTGCAGTGAACATACCACCAAAAATCGAGAGAGAGAGAGAGAGAGATCTGCACAACACCAAACTTCTCTGATAAAAATTATGGCATCCATCTTCCACACATTCAAAGAGTCATCATCTTCTCCACATCCATACCCCTGTTTCTGAACTCACATTTGTCACAGGACATTCATGAAGCAATTGCATAAAAAGCAAGAAAAGGTAACAACCAGGCGCTAAAAAGTAAATAACATGACATTAACATTAAGAAAACAAAGTTATTTTATTAGCAAATCACGGGTACATAAATCTGCATCCACTAAGCAAAATACAGACAGGGATGGGAAAAACCCCCAACTACGTATGTTATATCCTCCTTCACCACAAGGATTACAAAAGCTAAGCTGAGGTTTCGATTGCAACCTTTTCTAAGAAGTGGATGTCTTCTATCTTTTCAATGGCTTCACAAAGCTCTGGCAACGCTTCCTTGATATTGTGGATGCTCTCCAATGCATAATCCACGCCTTTTGTTAGGTTAGAATGGCCCACCTATTTACATAACAATCAAATTGATTAGGATAAACAATAAACTACAATCAAGACAATACAATGTTGTGGCCGATGCTACATGATTTCCTGAAGAATCAGTTATCGTTAGCTTACCCAGACCGTGTGGAGGCCCATAAGTTTTGCAGTCTGTAAATTACGGATACTGTCATCAAAGAACAACTGGCAAAGCAAAGATTTACAGTGTTAAAACAAATTACAATAGGAGCAATACAATTAACAAGGTTGTGAGGAAGTTCAGAAATGAAATAGAGAAAATAAATGGTGACAATGATCAAAATCAGGCTAATGACAGGTGGAAAGTTCCAGAATTTAACTACTAAATCAACAACGATTATAACATACTGCGTGCATATGCGTATGCTTTCTCAACATGAGTAAGGGCCGTTTGGTGCAGTTTAAGGAGCTACTTATATGCCCATCTTAAAATTAAAAAATAAAAAATAAAGGTAGCTGCTTATAGCTTCTTTTATAAAATTATTTATAAAAAAAAAAAAAACAAACTGTGCCAATTGGTGCAACTTCTGATTACAAGTTAAGAGACAAAAATGTCTTAAATAAGCTAGAAAAAAGTTGATTATTGGAAAGAAAGGCAAGGGATGCATTTAGTTTCTGTTTTCTAGTTATCAGCTTTCTACTTGCTAAAAGCTGCAGCAAACAGGCCTTAAATCAGTTGTCAGTGCAGTAAAAAGTTGATGATCTTACCGTTCTCTGAGGGTTGATTTTGGCTATCTTGAGAGCTAGTTCAAAGGCATCCTCGAATGGTTTGCAGACAATTGGAGTTTTTGGAAATTCTGCATTAGTCTCACAAGAATCGTTAATAAAATCTGTTACGGTGCTACGAATGGTACTTGATTTTGACCCATTGAGCTCAAGAGCAGCCTTGGCATCAGGTATATCGGTCTTGTTGAGTGGATTCAGAGTCTCGAAGCATACAACTCCTTCAAAGCAGTCCTCTAATCCAAGCCTGCCTAGAACGTTAGCAATGTGCTCTTTATTTGCATTTGAGAAGATCTGTTGCGCAAACACAACAAAACTTTGTTACACAAAGAAAGCCTCATAGCTTAACCGTGTTTTTCTATGTGTTGATGTGACAAGAAACTTACAACTTTCCGAATGGGCAGGCTTTGCAGAATTTTTTTAAAAATTGGGTCAGGTTTTAGGATCTCATAGGGTAATTGTCCATGAACAAAACTGTAAAACAAAATAGAGCGTGACCGTATAAATATAAAATAAATAAATAAGAAAAAAAAGAATTACATTACAAATAGAAACAGTTGGGAGGAAAATCGATACCTATGGTAATCATCATAGTCAAAGTCATAACCAATGGCCTGGGAGGAAGAGAAAACATCTATTTAATGGACTTGTATGACAGCATGATTTTATTTTGATAAATTATTATACCTTGAGACCAGCCATCGTTGTTCCATAATCTTTGTACAGTTGAACGCACATTTCGGGGGCTTTATCCTCCTCCATGCCGAGCTTGTTAATCATATATTCTACATAATGGTATAAAGGAAGACTGTCAATTCCAATGAACCAAAGATTGAAAGCTTTCACACAATAATTAGGGATAAAATAGAATAATGGTGTTACCTATGATGTTCTTGGTGCATTCTGCAGACAGACCAGATTTTAGGGGATAAAGAGTATCATCGACATCTGGAAACAGATATAAGAGTGATTATGATATGTTCAATTGTAGTCCTAATTTGTGGAAAAATTGGCGTTCATACGATTAAAAAGGTCTACCAAAGAGGAGGCAGTCATATTTCGGGTTTGGAACATGTTGAACCTGGTCTTCGTACTCCATTTTGATCTAGGAAACTTCACTGCAGAAAAGAGGAAACGACACTCGGTATAAAGAAAAGCATAAACACTTTGCAGTGTTATAAAGAAAAGTAAAGTTCACGTTGTCTGGTTGTGTTTTCATTTTTATCTTTTTCATGTTTTTGAAAACAAACAATAAAAAGTTCAAAAAACCAAATTGTTTTCATACTAGTTTCATTTTTGTGCAAAACCAATTCTTGATGTTTCCTGAAAAGTGAGTTATTTTCAATATAAATCAAATAAATAAAACTCTGAAAATAGTTTTCTGAAACGGTTCCCCAAAAGGGTTTTTACGCTATTTTCCCAACATTTGCATTGAATTCCATGTAAATTAACAACTCAATACTTCTAGTATAGATCATCAAAACTAAAGAAAGTGAAGACAATATTTACTTCTTTTTTTTTATCATTAAGGAGTGAATCTATACAAGTTGAAGGAAAGACACTAACACAAAATATTAAACTTGTAAACAATAGAGATCAAAACACATTCCTGAACACAACGCAGAAATAAATAAGGTGAAAAGCAGGGAAAATTTCGTTGCTTTGTAGAAGTATTCAAAGTTTCATTGAAAAGGGAGTTGTTAGAGCATGCATCCTTAAAAAGGACATTCCCTGTGCACCCAATCTACCACAACATAGTAATAAAACTACAATGTTTCGTAACAAACACCGCACCGCAACAAATATTCTCACCAAAATAGTTTGTAACATGTACTCCACACCATTCATTTTCATATTATAACCACAACAATTCACAACTTCACTATATATTCATCATTCCAAACTTTTAACACAAAAATGGCATAACACTCCGCAAACATTTGTAGTTATAACCTTCTTATGATAGGAGGTGTGAATAGTAGCACTTTTCATCATAGAAAATAAAAGATCTTCATCATCAATTATGAAAAAGACCAACTCTAAACATATCAAAGAATGGAAATACCCTAAAAAAACTGAAAATGCTTCAATGTACCTGTAAAAATAAATCCAGAAATTGCATTCATCGAACAAATTCATATACACGAATGTGAGTAAGAATTGACTTATTGTTTCATTTATACCACACCCATAACAGATCAAAAAACCCTCAAAACTTGGGCATTCAAAACATCCATTCCAAATAAGCCTCAAAATCAAATCCAACAAACCAAACCTAAAGTCTGAACCCAACAAAAACAACTAAAAACAAAAAACAAAAACAAAAACAAAAAGAACCACCCAAAAATGTAGGACATTAGAAGAAAACATTACCCGATCCGAATGGGGCAAAAATATCTGCGTGCGAGAGAGAGAGAGAGAGATTATGAAAGAATGCAATGAGGGTTTTAAATAGGTAAAAAAAAAGAAAAAAAAACAGAAAAAGAAAAAAGAAAAAGAAAAAGAAAAAAGAAGAAGAGGTAGAAGAAGAAAAAAGAAAAGCGTAGTATTGATTTTGGACGTGGAAAGGATGCTCCAAAAGTCAAGAAAGCTGACCCCCAAAACCACGAATTTTCTTAACGAAATGAATTTTGGAGAGGTAGTTGGGGGACAATTGAAAAAAAAGCCTAGTTTGCGAAATGTCAAGTAAGTTAATTTTTGGATAAATCATAAACATACTTCTTTAAACTTACTTAAATTATAAATTATTTTTTATAATTTTAAAAATTATATTATATCCCTTATAATTTCTAATTTTATAATAAATAAGTTTTTTTATAAATAAATTATTAAATTAATTAATAATTTTTAATAATGTTAAAATTTTATTTCAATTTATAATTTAGATAATTTTATTATTGCATAGGTGAATAATTTGAAATTTTACTTTTTTAATTAATTATGTTAAATAAAAAATTCTGATAGGGAGGTATTTGTACTTTTCCAAACAACATGGAGCAATTCGTATTTTAAGCAAACCTCAAAGAGTGTATTTGTAATTTATTCTTAATTTATTTTACTTATTATGAAAAGAAAATAATATAACCTTAAAAAAGTTTAAAAGTTAATAAAATGACTTAAAAGTCACTTCCCAAAAAGACCTTAAAAAAATATTTAAAAAAATTATTAATTCGTTTGTCATCCATTAAAAAATTTAAATGTAGACTTCGTTTGGGAAGAAGGGTTGGGTTGGTTTTAGGACTATTTTAGTCATAAAAATACAAAATAGGCTTTTTAATCTAATAAGGTAAAACATCACATCCAATTCATAATCATTACATTCTTTCTCTCACAAAAAGTCAAAAAAATCAAAAAATCCTTTTCAAACAAGACTTTTTAGCCCCAAACTAAAATACCCAAAAGATCAACCCACTTCCCAAAGGGGGAATTTTTTTAAGGTCCCTAATAATAACAATTTAGAGGATAAAGGACACCCAAAAAGATAGTCATGCATCAGGTCCCTGAAACAACTTGGCGCGCGTTTTTAATTATTTTGTGGACCAAAATACCCTTGCCAAAATCAACACAGAAACAAACTCATTCCAACGTCTGAGTTACATTACAAACATCCAGTATCTTCACGAACAGAAGAACAGCAGAATTAGGGTTTCAACATCATCTGCACCATCGACATTAGAGCTTCGTTATCTTCTCCAAAAATCATTCTCATTCCTTCCTCACAAATTTCTCTGACCTAGGTTAAAGCTTCGTTTGCACTGCTCATCATCATCTCAGTCCATCTTCGTCACGTCGCATCTTCATCTCGGACCATATCAACTCGTCATTCAAGTTTCATCCTAACTCTGGTCAGTTTTTCTACAATACAACTAGATTTTCTCTTGAAACACAGTTAATAGGATTTTATAATAACCTTCCATAAATTAGGATTTCAATTTCGTAATAAAAAGCTACCTGAATTTGGAAAAAGTTATTTCTGTGTGTTTTGAACTTATTCTTCAACATGTTTGTGTGATTTTATCTGTAAATTTCTCTGGCATTTGAATTTCTCTAATTTTTTATTAATGTACGTTTCTTCTTTCAATTTTCTCTGGCATGTTTATTTTCACAAAAACAATTTTCTATGTTTTTATCTTATTCTTGAACATATTTCTGTAATTTTGTCTATAAATTTTCCTGCTCCGTAAAATTCTCTGTAATATGTATTTTTAATTGGAATGTCTATCTTAATCTGGAATGTCTATTGCTTTCTTGCCTGTCTTAAGTTTCTCTGGTATTTATAATTTTCTCTAACCACATCACATCACTTTCCTCCCTTGTGTCTTTGTCATTTTAAATTTTCTCTGGAATTTTAATAATGTGGACTAGAATGAATGATTCTTCTTGGAATTTTCTCTGCCATATGTACTATGAGAAAAAGTTATTTCTCTGAATTTTAATCTTATTCTTGAATATGTTTCTGTCATTTTGTCTCTGAATTTCTCTGCTTTGTAAATTTCTCTGGAATATGTATTTTTCTCTGCAATGTCTATTACACTCTTGCCCCTGTCTAAGTTTCTCTGGTATTTATAATTTTCTCTGACAACATCATATCACTTTCCTCCCCTTGTGTGTCTCTATCATTTTTAATTTTCTCTGGAATTTTAATAGTATGGACTGGAATGAATGTTTCTTCTTGGAATTTTCTCTGCCATATGTACTTTGAGAAAAAGTTATTTCTCTGAATTTTGATCTTATTCTTGAACATGTTTCTGTGATTTTGTCTATGAATTTCTCTGCTTTGTAAATTTCTCTGGAATTGTATTTTTCTCTGGTATGTTTATTTTGTTCAATTCTTGATTTCAATATGGTGTACTTCTCAGTGCCATGTTTACATTACTTTGTTTATTTTATTCTTGCTAATTGTGGAATGGAAATTTTCTTTCGCTTGCCATGTTTACTTTTTTCTATCATTCATTTTCTCTGGTATGTTTACTTCTATATGTAATTTTAACAATTATTGAAAATTTCTCTCCCATGTTTATGATGTTGTGTTGATTTTCTCTGACATTTAATTTTTAATGTCCAATTTTCTCTGGCATGTCAAATTTTCTCTGGCATGTCCAATTTTCTGTAATTTTTTCTTATCTATAATTTTCTCTGCCATCTCCAATTTTCTCTGTTCTGTAATTTTCTTCCTTATCTGTAATTTTCTCTGACATGTCCATTTTTCTCTAGGATTTAATGTTGACATCTCTATGTTTTAATCATTGTCCAGAAATGGCAAAACGTAAAAGCAGCGAAACACCGGAAACACCAAGCAAAAAACAGAAACTCTCTCAGTCTTCTTATGGACTAGGATCAAAAACCAGCAGCAAAACACTAGAAACACCAAGCAAGAAAGAACAACTCTCTCAGTCTTCTTATCATCTAAGATCAAAAACCAGCACCAAAACACCACAAACTCCTCCCCAAAACACACAAGTCCAAGCTGATAAAGCAACTAGCATCCAGATGAGTATCCCAACTTCAAAAGACTCAAGCTCAAGGGGGAAAAAACCTGTTAAACTCCACAAATACAGCATTCAATTCCGATCCAACCTCTCATCTGTCGTCTCCTTCTTTCAAACACTTAAATTCAATTCAAAACATCTTCTAGAGCTTCAATAGACCCCATTCTAGTATTTGATCCAAGCTCTAACCACTGGAAGGATGGATCCAAAGAAATCTAGGAAATCCGATGATGATGTAGTTGCCATAATCCAATGTTACAATGAAAAAACAAAAGCATTCACAGTTGGGAAGAAGAACCTGACCTTTACAACAAATGACATGACCTTGATTTTTGGTTTGGAATGAGGTAAAGGAGCCATGTCATTAAGATACTCTAAAAAGCCAAAATCTGCATTCCTCAGGAGAAGATTCCAAAAGGACACAAGGCTCGCTGATCCTGTTTTTAAAAATGCCTTGCTCAAAGCAATGAAAGGCAAGCAACCAACTGACTTCAAAGATGTAGCAATCATTGTTACATTGTACTTGTGTCTCACCCTATTTTGTGCAACAAGTGGGAATTCAATAGATTGGGTTTTTATAA